ATGCATATAACAGCATACTTTCGGTGGAGGCAGGGCAAAAAGATATTTTCAATATATATGTAACCATGGTACATGTATATAATAAAGTTTTTTAATAAACTCAAAGAGTTTTTTTATAACATGTGAATAAAGTTTACCATTTTCAGCACCTATAAAGTGAACCAAAAATAGAGTTTCCCGAACATCACAAAGTTGAACGAGAATTATTCTCCAATGCATATATTAATGGTTTGATTCAAATTACATTCACTCGTTTTATTCTGGTAAAAATGTAGCAGTCGTACCTTACATGCAAAAAACACAGCTTGTATAAATTTTACCGCTTGTTTTTATTTCAGATTGAAAAATGAAAATTAATCCGTTAAACGTTCTAAACTTATTATTAGCATACTTTCAAGCGTTACACATACCAGATAGTGTCACGAATTATCATAAAACAGAGTTGGCCGAAAAAATAAAAGAAATTTTAATAGATGCAACACATGATTTCAACGGTGTAGAAATGATTACGGATGACTCTTTGGATTTTCAAGAAGTGTATAAAGACCATAATGCGGAAATAATTGAAGATGAAGTGTAACATCATTTTCCTGATCCGGATATAGCACCAACAAATCAATGTGCAGCAGATAATGAAGAACTAGACTTTGAAGAAAAAAAAGAGCTGTAGATTTTTGGAGAAGTAGCAAAACGAAGCAAAATTTAAGTCTTAAAACAGTGCAAAACAGATTCAAAAAAGTATCATCTATTAGTCAGCTACGTCGTTCGGCTCATTGAATTAATAAAGGTGGCACTTATAGAGAAAAAGTAGCACAAATTTGTCAGTATACCCTGAATAATTTTAAAGCAGCTCTCGACAGTAATTCAATTATCCATTATGAAGATATAATTCGATGGGCCTTACAAGCTAAAAATGAAAATGGTTTTGATGATATTAAATTCAAAGCCTCCATACATTAGTTACTCAAATTTAAACAAGCACACAGAATAGTTTCTAGGAAAATAAATAAGTTCATAACAATAAAAACGCTAGAAAGTAGTGCAGAACTTACGGCTAAAGCTGAAGCATTTATCGATGACGTTAAATCGTGTATACCAAGGATTGGACTCAAAAATTTGTATAATTCAGATCAGAAGGAATTTCAGCTAAAAATACATTCTGGAAGAACATTAGCAGTAGAAGGAGAAAAGTAAGTGCAATGTCTGGTACAGTCAATTTCAGGAACAACGCATAGTTATACTATACAGCCAGTAATATCAGCTACTGGACAACTGTTGTCACCGCTATTTCTAGTTTTAAAGGAACTAAGTGGCAAGTTTGGCCCTATTGTAGAACAAAACATATTTAGACCAGAAAACGTGTACGTGGAAGTATCCAAATCTGGAAAACTAACAACAAGTAAGGGATCTAATAACAATTTTTACATTGTAATATCGTTGATCAGTTAATTAAAGTCGTTTAATTGCAGATCACTTCAAAATCTGGTTGGAAAAAATATTTTATCCCCATGTAGGCCATCACTTAATATTATTACTTGATTCTTGGAGTGGTCATTGTGACAAAGTTATAGAAGAAACGATGCTACAAAATAAAATTATTAACATAAAAAAAATTCCAACCGGAACCACAGGAAAAATACAACCATTTGATGTCTATGGATTCCATATTTGGAAAAACTTTGTCCGAACATTTTCTGATAATGTAATGTTAATGGATCATGATATGAATTTACATGTGAGAAATAATATAATTAAACTTCAATCATTGGTTCATAACCAACTGTTTTCACCGAGATATATAGATTTGTTTAAATATTCCTGGTATAGAAGCGGTTACGTCAATGAAAAACCATATAAATTTGATAATCCTATAGATTTCAGTTTTGAAAAGTCTTGTGCAACACATTGTGAAATAGAAGGGTGCACAAACATTGCAACTGTATGATTTGGTTGGTGCAAAAAAGCATTGTGCTTTTAACACTTTTATGAGGACTACCATTATTGTAAAAACTTCGTAAAATAATATATTTTATGCTCAATACAAAAAATGCACTATGGCAAAAGATAAAAGATTGTAGATTATTATTATGATACTCTAATATAATAAGCAAAAATATATTATAAGTTAAATTTACAATAAAGGAATTTCAATAACATTCTGATAACAATTTCCAAGAAAATTATAAAACTGTTTCACACACAGAATTTTCTTGTTTACAAATTTAGGAATTTGAGGTGGTTTGGTTAAAAAGCACAGGAATCTAGCCTGTTTGTTGTTTAGGAGTTTAGGGTTTAAGGCTCTTTAGTTCACACGTACAGGTAACAAAGATCATACATTTGTAAACAAGTTTTTATGAAAGTTAAATTTTTTTTCGACATTTTCGTCTACCATATTGGTTCCGCCATTTTAAATTTTAAAAATCTGATATTAGATTTGTAAAGAGCGATTTCGAAAACCCCTATGTACAAACCTTCTACAAAATATTATGAATTGAAGTATACTTATAGTTATTTTGTGTTAGGGGTCGTTTATCCCCCTCCCTTGTGGCTAGTACCTATGAAAGAACCGAAAAACTTAATTTGTTTATCGTAGATGTTTACAAATTTTTTCCAATTTTTTTAGTCATTTAAAACTTTTTTGTTATATAAAATTTTTTTTCGATATTTCTGTTTGCCATATTGGTTTCGCCATTTTGAATTTTCAAAATTTGATAACAGATTTGTAATCAGCGACCTCGGAAATCTCTATGAGGTCTGTCCGGAAAGTATCAGGCCTACCTTTATATATTCGTGCTAGCGTTATTCTTTATCATCTTGTGGATGGCATCCTTCAAAGTAATCCCCACTTGATTGAATAACACGATTCCATCGATGTTTCCACTTTTCAAAACAGTCCTGGAACTCACTTTTAGGGATAGCCTCAAGTACACTCGTCGCATTGTTTTCAACCGTTGTTTTGTCATCGAATCGGTGTCCTTTGAGTGGTTTTTTTAGTTTTGGAAACAGCCAAAAGTCACAAGGGGCTATATCGGGACTGTATGGAGGTTGTCGAAGCAATGCGATATTGTGTTTGCTCAAAAACTGCTGCACAAGATTGGATGAATGCGCTGGCGCATTATCGTGATGGAAAAGCCAGTCACCACTTTCACAAAAGTGCGGCCGTTTTCTTTTTACTGCATCACGCCAACGTTTCAAAATTTGAACGTAGTATTCTTTATTGATTGTCTGACCTGTTGGTGCATATTCGTGATGTACAACACCTTCACAATTGAAAAAAACAATCAACATTGACTTAACATTGCTCTGACTTTGACGTGCTTATTTTGGTCTTGGCGATTCAGAATGCTTGCACTGTGAAGATTGTTGTTTTGTTTCAGGATCATAACCATAAACCCATGATTCATCACCTATAATAACTTTTCTAAGCATATTATCATTATTATTGACCATTTCCAGATTGTCCAGAGCGATTTCTAAACGAATGTTCTTCTGCTCTGCTTCGAGCAATTTTGGGATGAATTTCGCACACACGCGTTTCATTCCTAAATTTTCGGTTAAAATTTCTGAAATGATAGTTTTTGGTATCCCAAGATCTTCTTCTAGTTCTCGCACAGTCATACAATGATCTTGTTCGATTGTAAGTCGCACCCGCTCAATATTATTTGCGGTTTTTGTCGTCGAAGGTCGGCCGGAACGAGAATCACTATCGATAGTGATTCTGTCCGGTAGAGGTCGCTCGAACGCTATGGCGCGAAGATATAAACATAGGCCCGATACTTTCCGGATAGACCTCGTATATACAAACTTTCTACGAAATATTATATATTGAATTACATATTTACAGTTATTTTGTGTTAGGGGTGGATTACCCTCCTTAGGGGTAATATTTATTAGAACACCGAAAGACGTCAACTAAATTTTGTTATTATGGATGTTTAAACATTTTTTCCAATTTTTTTAGTCGGTTTAAACGTTTTTATTGTAAAATTAAGCCAAAAAATATATGTTTTCAACCCCTAAAGAATAGAGGATGCTACCCTTACCCTTCAAATCATCATGAAATACTTGCTTCTTTTGTAAGAAATAACCTCCAATTTGTTTCACTAAAAAATATTAGTTTTAAACCGAGGTATTAAAAAAAACGCTTTTTGAGGGTTAACTTTATTTTAACCCCCAAAGAGAGGTTTTTACCCCTTAAATGTGAAAATTAGCCGATAAAAAAAATACGTGTATCTTAATTTTTTATGTTCTACAATATGTATCAAAATCATCAAAATTGGTGTGTTCAGGTTGGGTACCTTTCCTTGTAAGTCAAATACTGATATGGAAAGATTCTAAAGCAGAAGATTAAGATATATCACTGATGTATCATGATTTATAATAAATAAATATACAGGCGTCCCTCGTTATACGTGGTTTTTTTAACCGCGGTTTTCATTATCCGCGGTCAATGAAAATACACCATCCCTCGTTATGCGCGGTCATTCCCTCGATTATACGCGGTTCGAAGATCGATTCGGAGCAATATTCACGTTAGTCGTAAAATGTTATTGTTTTTTTTTCTAAACAAAACCTCAAAATTATTATATATCTATTTTTCTACTTTTAGAAAACATTTATTAGTTTTCTAATAAAACTTTTTAAAAAAAAATCAGTTATAAAAGTGCCTCCTAAACGCAAAAACAATTCTCCTGACAAACGAGTTGTAAAAAGAGCAAAAAAAGTTATGAGTCTTGAAGACAAAATAAAATTCTTGACAGTCTTAGGAGAGGAGAAAAAGTAGTTTTCCTTGCTCAACAATATCAAGTAAGCTGCAAATAGTTTGCATAGTTTGCAATAGTTTGCAACTATATCTTAAGCAAAGAAGTAAAATACGACATATCAAACAGGTTAATGAATCAACAATCCGCACAATTAGAAACAATGAAAAAAAAATTAGAGAGACGGCTGAACAGGTGGGTGTACATGGTAAAACTGTTAAATACGTGAGAAGCACAAACATGGAAAAAATGGAAGACATGTTGTATATTTGGATAGAAGATAAAACCCGCCAAAGAGTTCCACTAAGTTCTGCAGTGATCCGTGAACAAGCATTATACTATTTCGATTATCTCAACAAGGAAATTTCAAAAACGAATGAGAAGTTTACAGCTAGTAAAGGTTGGTTCGAAGGTTTTAAAAAACGATATTCTCTTCATAATGTCAAATTCAGCGGCGAAAGTGCTTCTGCCGACTATAAAGCTGCGACAGAGTTTCCGAAAGTTTTCAAGGAATTAATTGCTGAAAAAGGGTATCATGCATCACAAGTATTTAACTGTGATGAAACTGGCCTTTTCTGGAAAAAGATGCCTAATCGCACATTTTTAACAAAAGATGAAAACAAAGCGGCAGGTTTTAAGATTTCGAAAGATCGTTACACGCTGATGTTGTGCAGTAATGCATCTGGCACTTATAAGTGCAAACCACTGTTGGTTTATAAATCTGAATTGTGGCCCGAAATTGTTCAAGACAAACAGCCCGAATTAAACGCACAGCAAATTGCACAGCAGGTCGTAGAGGTTGCAAAAGGGATCGAAGCAGACGGTTTTAAAGACATGGAAGCAGCTGAAGTTGTGAACTTGATAAATGAGAACATTGATCTTACACCTAGTGTCCTTGTTGAGATCTTGGATCCGGGACATGTACCGGACGATGAGGACGATCTTGGATCACAAGAAGAACCACCACATCTTTCGTACAAAACAGTGGCAAATGCGATGTCATTAATTCAAGAGGCTTTCGAATTGTTAATTCTCAATGACCCGATAATGTCACGCAGTATTAAATTTAGACACGATTGCGAAGAAGCTATGCGCCCATATACAGAATTACAGTCAGACGAGCAAAACAAAGTCGTGTAACTGATTTTTTCAGTAAAAAAAACTGATTTTTTGTGAAAATTGCGTATTTTTGTAAGGACGTGGAACGCAACCCCCGATTTCCCATAAGACTAATGCTTTTTTATACGCGGTTTTTTTATACGCGGAATTTTCAGGAACGAATTAACCGCGTATAACGAGGGACGCCTGTATAAGAAAAGATGTGAAAATAAAGCCAGTAAGAAAGGAAATAGAAGCAGCATCTAGCAAATATACTAGCCAGATAACACAGCATCCAAATCATCTAGTAAAGGAGCTAATGCACACAACACCTACAACTTCAAGATTTAAAAATATAAAACACTATTTTACGAGTATACAAAAATAAAATAGCATAGAATTAATACACTGGTACAGATCATTGGTGAAGTACCTTTATGTAATATTGTAACTGATTGTTGAAATTGTAATAATATCATTTACTTATTGTTCACAAACAGATTGTAAATTAATTTAGAAATACAAAAAATCTAAGATTACTTGTAGCTAAACAAGCAGCTGGTAATACTAGTTATATTCAAGAAATTCAGTCATTCGTCGAAAAATTACATGTGACGGAATATATGTGTTTGTGTGTGGGCCAATTTAAAAAGATATAGTGATTAGTCCGCCCAGGTGAACTTTTATAAAAATTATTTCCAATAGAAGTTGCTTGGCTTCGAGGGGGACATATTTTGATGACCTTGCATTTGATTTTGGAAGTCATGTTAAAATCATTTTATCATAAAGTCATGTTAAAGTCATTTTAAGATCAACTTTATTTTTTTTATTTTTTTAAATGGGGAATACCTATTTTTTACTTCGTATTCGGGAAGAGCGGGAAATTCTACATTTAAATAAGGTAACGTAGTTGGAGTCGAAATGAGACTCAAGTTTATGTAGAGGTCAATTTTATTTTTTCCTTAATCTATCTGTGGCACCTGGCAATTAGTACGAAAGATTTGAGACAAAAGTGGATCAACAATAAGGAACACATTCTCAGGAATTTACATTTGCCTGAAAGGTCATATTTAAAGTCAACTTTGTTTTTTTTAATAAGAACCTCGTTTTTCGATTCCTAATTCAGATAGAAATGGAAAGTCAAGATTATCTTATGTGATTCAAGGCCATTCTGAGGTCAATGGAGAAATATGAAGTTAAGAAAATAATTTTTTGAATATTATTTTTTATTATCCCTGAATCGACATAATTGTTGATACATAGTTGGATTCGTGTTTGGAAGCTTTCAAAAGTTTATAGTAGAATCTGTTTTGGGATTGATTTACATGCATCAGTTATACATTGCATTATATTTTTTCTAGTTGTGAGCACTTCTATGTAACATACATTTTTCAAATCAATATCAAATTTTTCAAAAGCAAAACACAATCAGGACTAGTCATATCCGGAGATCTAAGGCACTATTCAATTTCTACTCCAGTTTCTATCCACCTATAGGAAAATCTACGATTTAAAAATCTTCTAACTCTTGAACTTCTGTAGGCTGATGTACCATCTTATTGGTACTACATTCGCTGCTTAGTTAACAAATTAATATTTTCTAAAAAATGAATCATTCGTAAAAAATGTAAATATCTTTGTAAATTTACGTTTTCATAAATAAAGTAAGACCTAATTAGATATCTATTAAATTCCACAACTACAAGACTCCACCAATTTCACGATGCCAGTTCGGGATTTCCAATGACCAATAATGACTGCTGTATCGATTCAATTGACTGTCAATATAGAAAGTTGCTTCATCGGAAAACATGATATAATTCAGAAAATGTAGATCGCGATTTGATATTTCTTGGATCCAATTGCAAAAATTAAGTTTTCTTTGGAAATTTTCAGCCATCAAGCTCTAAATTAATATTATGTGATGAGGATGGAATCGATGATTAGAGCCAAAATTCTCCGAACTGTGTTATGTGAAATGTTTGATTGTACTGTAAGTTGACGTTTAGACAGATGTGGCTTCAAGTGTATCAATGTTAAGATAAATAAGACTATTGCATGATTTTTTTTAGGTACATATGACGTCGTCATCACCGTACTCCACATTGATGCCTTTTATTTCTTTTTATTCTAGCAATCGTGATATCTGATGGATGTTGATGTCTATTCGGAAACCGTTTTCGATACAATCTCGCTGCTGCACGATAATTACGATGACAGTCACTGAGCACCAACAGAATATCATTTTTTTCATTACGAGTATAATCTGGCATTTTTTGACAAGTTAAATATTAATATTACGTTTACACAATAAAAGATATACAAAGACGTGTAATAACACACTTTGAAATAGACCACTATATCATATCATTCGTTGTAAAAAATAAGCAAGAAGGTAACCGGAATATGAAATATTTTATTAATTTTGTCATTTATAGGTGCTCTAAAAGATGGTTTCTTGACAGATTTACCAATATCCAAAATAATTCAATTTAAAATTAATTCTTTATAAAAAAAAATTATCACATAAATGTTTTAAGTAAAACTCGTCCGTTTTAGAAACTTTTTCATTAGCTTCATTCACTCAGGCAACGAACCATTTATAATATAGCCCCGCAAAAAACAATTTCTGTGCACGGAACCAGACCACTATATTCTTATGTTTTTGGGGTTGCTGAATCTGAACCCGAAGTCCGTTGTTTTCCATCAGGTCAGGGTCAAGGTCTAATCAAGGTCAAATCTAGACCATCCCATAAATGTGGGCAAATAGGGTCAGTTCTTTATACTTTTGTGCTGAGTCGCTGAGTCCGAATTTCGAGTCAGTCTTTCTCCATCAGGTCAGGACCGAGGTCAAGTCAAAATCAAATTCAGGAAAGTACGTGTAATCAAAGGCAACCATTATAAGAAGGTTTTCGGCTTTGCTATATTAAGAACCTACATTTATCTAAGGTTTTTTATAGTATCTCGTAGTAGTAGAGTAGTAGAGCGCGACAAAGTTTCAACTTTAACGGTATACCGCGGCCGTCCTGACCAGATTTCAAAAAAAGACCAAATGTAACCTAAGAAGGAAGATGAAATCTTCCGGTAGAAAAAATTTGACAATTTTTCGATAATAAGTTTCCGAGAAAAAGATGAAAGACTAAAATTGTTTAGTTGTAAAATAGAATTTAACAATGAAACAATAAACATATTGGAATCTAATAAAATTCATTCGATTGGCAATTTAAAGACCTTTCATTTAAAAAAAAGAATCTTTCTACGATAATTAAGAGCCGAGATATTATTATTTTGGTTTTTAATCAATAAGTCGTCTTGTTTATAACTTTTTTCAAAGTTAATTGCTGATTTCGATTTGAGAAGAATTTACCTATACGAAATGTTTTTAAGCTATTTAATTGTTACAATTGGAGTGCGCCGCCGAGCATACGGCATACGGCTTCAAGGCTTTCAAGATACCTTAGTTGAATAATTAATTTACACCACTTCTTAATATGGTAGAATTTTTTTTTAAGTATTTTTTCTCTACATTCTCATTCTTTCATCAGAATTTCATTAAATATCGTCTATCCTGTCCAATTTGTACAATAAAATATGAAAATTAATAGCAATTAAGGTAGCTCGAAAGCCTCGAAGCCGTGAGGAGAGGATCATTCCCCTGACCCACACCACCGCCGCGCCGGGCGCGCGCGTCCCCGCGGCGCACTCCAATTGTTACAATTAACTTTGCTAATAGAAATGAAAATCCTGCATAGCTTAATAAATTTCGTATACGTAAATTCTTCTCAAATCAAAATCAGCAATTAAATTTGAAAAAGTTATAAACAGGACTACTTGTGGATTAAAAACCAAAATAATAATATCTCGGCTCCTAATTATCGTAGAAAGAACCTTGTTTTTTTTAAATGAAAGGTCTTTAAATTGCTAATTGAATGAATTTTATTAGATTCCAATATATTTATTGCTTCATTGTTAAATTCTATTTTACAACTAAACATCTTCAGTCTTTCGTCTTTTTCTCGGAAACTAATTATCGAAAAATTATCAAATTTTCTCTACCGATAGATTTCATCGTAATTCTTAGATTACAATTGGTCTTTTTTCGAAATCTGGTCAGGACGGCCGCGATACACCGTTAAAGTTGAAACTTTGTCGCACTCTAGCTAGTAAACAATTAACTTTCAAAAAATCGGACCGGCTTTCTATTATACATTTTTTAAAGATGTATCGGCCCTGAAAGTTTCGTTAAAATTTATTGAAAATTAAAGAAGATATAAGCGATTGTTTTTTTTTTGCAATCTTGGTAACAACACAAGATATTGTTATTAATAAAAAAAAATTAATTTTCGGACGTGCTTATCCTTATGTAGAATTATCTCAGGAATCGAATTCCGTTAAGCTTATATCGATAGGATAATTAGGAAAAAAGATTTAAGCGAATAACTAAAAAATTTGCCTTTTTTTGGAATAAATCGTTAATAAAATAATATCCCGAAAACTTTTGGAAATCAAAACTATTTTTCCCATTATCTAAGTGTTATTCCGCGTCGAAATAAAAAAAATCTCGTTGTTCGTAAAAATATAGATCAATATACTAGAATGACCAGACTAACCCTAACGTTCCCCTGCAAGGTAGCGCGCCATCGCTGGCTTCGTTACCATGATGGACTGAAGAGCGAATCATTCTACACATCTTTATTTGAAGCATTTGTCATCGTATTTAGTATCCTTCATAGTAGCAGTATTTACAGAATTAATTTATGCCCACACAGATGTATTTTTCTGTATGTACTTCTTATACCCTATAACCTTATACCCTATAACCCTTATACCCTTATACCCTCCAATAACCCAATAACCCTCTCCGGACTTTTAGGGCATCTAAGTTGCCACTGCTGTGTGGGAAGCGTTTCTATTTTCCACCTTATCTTTCGGTTTCCTAAGAAACCTTCAGATTACCGTGTGCAAGAGTACTCGTTTTAGCACTTGCTTCTATTTATATCATTCTACTTGATTTATTGGTTCCCGATCTCTGGGCCTAAAGT